GAGGAATTGAAATTTGTTCACATTTTCTTTATGGTTCATAGAGGGCGCCAGTTGCCGTAGATTGAAGGTGTTGGAAATTACATACTTTTTTGTACTTTAAGGTATCTCATCTTTGGTATCAAATTCTTGTTTTCCAACTTTTTTTACAAAAAAGGTAGACTTTATGAAAGTAGCTGTCTCGCACCGTTTCCGAGATATTTGGCTTTGAAACTTCTAATGTTGAAAGTGTAGTTGAAATAATTAAAATAATTTAGAAATGTCAAAAGCAAGGATTTATTTAGAACTAAAAATTGTAATGAACAGTAAAATAGTAAACATTAGTAAAAAATATGCCTTTTTGACAATAATTGCTCAAAATGTCCACCTCTAACTTCAATACATTTATCAACACGTTTATTAAGTTATTGTCTTATTTTAAAGTATAAATCCTTAATGCGAAATGACTTTGCACCATTTAAAACCTGCTACTAAAGTTCCTCTCAAGTGTTTATAGTTTCTCCATAAACAACTGATTTCATGTAACTCCAAAAACTAAAATCTCGGCATTCTATCACACAGTTATGTATACGAGTATACAATTTAATTTGTAAGCTAAGATGCAATTTTAATTAGATATGAATAATACTTAATAAAAATTAGCATACAAATGACAGCAATAAGACAAGTGGAAGACGTCAATTATTTGATTTTTGTCCAAATCCTACTTAAGAAACTTTACTGCTAAATTAATAATACCTGTAGGACACTTAATTGTAATTTAATGCAACAGCATTGGTAGTTTCAAAGCCAAATATCTCGAAAATGGTGCAAGATAGCTACTTTAATAAAGTATACCTTTTTCGTGTAAAAAAAGTTGAAAAATAGGAATTTGTTACGAAATATGAGGTACCTTAAAGTACAAAAAAGTAATGTCGTTTTTAACACATTCAATCTACTGCAGTTAGCGCCCTCTATGAACTTTAACCAAAACGCGAACAGATTTCAAAATTTTGTGAGGATATTTGCATTTGTTAAGGAATAAATTAAAAAAAAAACTGAAATAATATTTTACATTTAACACCCTTTATCTCTAACTATCAATTTACGGACTAAGGTAAGTTCAGCTAAATCGCAATATTTTTACTTGGGGAATATACCCATGAATTTTGGTCCATTAACTCGGGACCACCCTGTATTGTATTATTAGCTTTATTGAGGTATTAAGCTAATTCAAACAAATCCTATTAAATAATGTCAAACATTCTTCGATACCAGAAATCTAGAAATTTAGTACCAGCAGTTAGCAATTTTGTCTGTAATGTTGGATGTCTTTTGCATATGTACCTAGATTTGGTATCGAAGAATGTTGTTTGACTTCTTTTGATAGGATTTGTTTGAATTAGTTTAAGACCACCTTAATAAAAGCTGTTTTACATTGACAATTTATTGATCAATTAATTCATGGTCGCTTCATCAAGAAATTGGACAAGTGTAATGCACCAAATCTGCTGTCAAAAACTTCATGAATTTATTCATCAAGTCCTTGACGAATTAGAGCATGTTCTAATTTTCGTCAATTTCTTCGTGAAGTTCAGAAGTACCAACTCAACAGATTTCCAGCCTCAAATGAGGTTATGTTATTGGAATATGTAAATAATTGTGAGGCGTCCTACTAGTTTTGCATAGTTTTTACTGATTTGTTACTTACAAAAACTAATATTTATACAATATGTGTCACAACAGTACCACTGTTGTATCACTACAATTATGAGCGGAAAGGTGACATTTTTGAAATTTATTTGCTTCTTTGATTCATTGGTAGAACTGATTCATACGTCAAAAAACTTGACAAAATCTGGAGCAGTGTAAAACCACATTGTTTACCAATAAGTTCATGAATTAATTGATGAAGAACTTCATCAATTTATTCATGAATAAATTGTCGATGTAAAACAGCTATAAAAGGTTATTAGAAACTATCATCTGTGTATGTCAATATATTATTCAAAATTTCAAATGTGTATTAAATCATAGACATTTTGAAATGTACTGTTTTCTACTTTCAAAATGTTTATTTTTTGTTCATCTTGTTCTTTTGATTTATTTGCAAATCTAATCTAATAAATCTCATAAAAAATTTTAATAACCTGCATCTTATTAGAGAATTATATACTGCATATGCTGTCAATTCTAATTGTTTTCTTTTAAACAAAAGGCAAATATTGCTTCAGTTAAATATTGCATAGAACTGTTTCTAATTTCACCTGGTAGGTAATTTATGTTTTCTCCACTGATGAGGCAAAGAAGCTATCAGAGTTATACCAGAGAACACTATATCAACGAGAAGCGACAGCAAGGCTTTCTGCGTTAACAGTTTTCGTATGCTCATGCGCGAATTGGGTTGTGTTGTTGTCAGTTGTCAGTGGCTGTCAGAGCCGTCAAATATAAATAGAAGAAACGAGTAATAGTTTTTTGGCGGTGGACAGTTGTGTTGTATAATGTTAATTGATAGTGGATTTATTTGTATTATATTTCGTTTCCATCTACAATTAGAATCAACTTGAAATCAATAAAATGCATGGTTATTATTGTGCTTTTCGCGATTGTTCATCGAAAACTGGTGAAGGATCAACCCTATTGAGATTACGTAAGGATTAGAAAGGTAATTATTATTATTATTTTAAGTACCTACCTCTAAACTGTAAATCAGAAAAAAGTATTTTGATTTTTAAAATAATGTGGAATGTTTTCTTGTAATATGGTATTGCATAAGTACAGAGAATATCTTTAGGAGAATTTTTATTTTTGTTTGCAGTGCTCGAGTGTGGATAGAAACTTGCAATAGACTCGATTTATTGCCTAGGATTGTGGATGTATATAAGAATTATATGCTTTGTGAACACCATTTCGAAACCAAATATATTGGTAAAGGGAATGTAAGAATAACCTTATTGCCAAACGGAATACCTATACTGTTTCCTCAACTTAGAAATGGGCAAGAAGAGCTAGAGGCAAAAATTGTGGAAGATTGTCCCAAAGAAGTTATAGCATTGTCAGGTACCTATTTTTAAAAAAATATTTCAAATATTGCAGTAAAATATTATATCTGCTTAATAAATATATTAGTTGTAAAACATCTTGTTTTATTTTTTTATATATTATACCTAATTTGTCTACATTTTACCACAGTTATCCTTGTATTATATGAATAACGTTTGATACTGATGCAGTTCGTTCAGTGTACATCTATTCAAAAGTGTAACTTCTCTCAGTGTAAACGTTTGTGTTTCTGTCAAATCGGTCGCGCCGCGAATGGCTAGAAATTGGCCTCAATGATTTGGGATCGAGGGGGATTATCCCTCTTTATCCTGCCTCATCTCCTGTAGGCCTGGACAGCCTTCGTAGGTGGGCCCCGTCCGTCGTCTACCCCGACCGCAAATGCGGCCGGTGTAGGCGCTTTGTGGGACCTCCTTTTGTCCTGGCTGGGCCCCGCCGGCTAGGGCCCTTTCTTCTGGCGCTCTTCTTGCTTCGCCGGCTCGTCTGTGTAAACCCCGGGGGTAGTGTCATGTTTATGTGTGGTATGGTTGGGTAGGGTAGTGCGGCTATGCAGCCTGGGATGCGCTTTGCTAAGGTGGCCCTTAGGCTAGCGCGGGAGGGGAGGGGTAAGGAGGGTATGGGGGGTGTGTATGTGTGTGTGTGTGTCGTTGTCTTCGTTTCTTGATCCTGGCTCTCTGAAACAGAAAAGGTTAGCGGGCAGGGGGGGGGTCATTAGGGTGGTCACCCAGGGTCAAAAAGTTGGTGTCTAGGTCTTTTGTGTTTGTCGGTCACGTCGGGTACGTAGTCAACGGCTTGCCTGAGGAGGGGATTGTCATGTCTAGTGGCTACGTCAAATCGTTTCTCCGCGTTTTGTCTTATTGTCTGTGTAGCGTTTGTGTATTGTAAGTCTCGTAATATGTCAGTGTTTCTTACGTACCAGGGCGCGTCGGTGGCCGTGCGGAGGGCTATGTTTTCCACAGCCTGTAATGACTTTAAGTGGCTTTTTGCCGCGTGACCCCACGCCGTATGTCAAATCGGTCGACTCTAGCGTGACCACAAAACATCAAAGGAACCGCCGATTCTGTCGCTTCTCGTTGGTATTGTGTTCTCTGGTTATACATCAATGTTTGTGCTATTTGACAGATAGCCTATTTTATTTATTTTTCTTTGTCTAAATAAAATAGATAAGTTGTTATCAGGGTCCATTAAAAGATGGAATTTCGTTCCTAACATAAGTAATTTAAAATTTGATATAAAATTCCGACGTCTACAGTAAAAGCTCATTTCTAAATTCACCATATTCTATCAACCAATTTTCTACCTGACAGATTGACTCAAAAACCAGTATACTCAACCGATAAAAAATTTCTCAGTTTTGGAAAATGCCTTTAGCCAAAGGACCAACTTTATAATCTTTCATACCACCATCAACTTTCATCCTTTTCCGAAAAAAAAAAAATCTAGCATTATTTTTGTAATTACAGTTGGATTCTAAGATGATAGTATAACAGGGTTAGTTTATTAAAAGTTTTAATCATTTTTTTATATCTCATAAATACCTACAATTTTAGCATACTTTATAGGATTCTTTATGAGTAAAATACCTGCATCAATAACTACCTCATTGCTTATTGTACCATGTTGATAACAATTAAAAGTAATAGATTTCTATATTATACAATAATAGACATTGTTTTCGCTTACCTTTACTTTCTTATGACTACGTAACAAAATTTTCTAAAATAATTTAAATGTTTAATAAATTTCAAGTAAATTTAGGTTGATTCAATTTCTGCTCATGAAACTGTTAGGTTATTTTACAAGTGTAGCAGATAGGAGAAATTGATTTTACCTCATACATCTTATCTTATCTCAAATATACAGTATCAAATAAATATAATAAATCTGTTATTGGGGATTGATTTTGAGGAATTATCGTATCTGATAATAAAACATGCAGTAACTGTACAGGGTGTAACTTTCAGATGGTGTCAGTTTTTACGAGTTAGTATGTGTTCCCCGGAATAGTAATCTGTAAGTAATTATTTTTTTAAAATTATATAAATTGTATAGTAATAATTTGTTTTTTTAAACTGCACGTAAACTTTTACCTCTGCCACAACTGCAATTACCAGAAGCCAAGAAGCGTGCAGTGAGTGAAGTGTAACTTTGTGGAGATGAGTGAGAACTAATTGTGGCTGATGAGTAAGGAATTGCAACAGTTCATCCATTTATTTAAGAAGAACCTTAGCATCGTCGTTAGATGGAGTACATAAATTAATAATAGAGAGGAAATTTAGAAAATAATTTTAATGGGTTAAGAGATGAATATAATAAGTTATCTAAGGGACATGAGGAAATTAAACAAGTAAAGGAATATGTTAGGGCAATTGAAAGTAGTATTGTTAAGTCTCGTAATATTTTAATAAATAGGTTAGAATGAATAGTTATATCTAAGCCGTGTGAAATCGAAATTAGAAGTCGGTCTTTAGAGTTAGCTGAAAATAATACAAATATGGTAGAGAAATTTGATCTAAGATCGGCTGCGTCCATGGACGACACAACGTTACCAAACAATTAATCGATGCTTAATGAGTTTTTAAATGACACGGGAAAAATATTTTCAAAAATTATATTTATGAAAATTAAAATAAGTCGTACAAAACTTCGTGTCTAGAAAACCAGTAATGAGTTACATCGTTAATGAGTTGACATCTGTTATGAAAAGTCATTTGCTAACGAAAAAGTCAGCGGCGACTATGTCTACCCAATTGCATTAGTGCGAGACAAGACAATAAAACCCTAGATGAATATGCTAAAACCGTAGAACAACTATTACTAAATCCAACTTTAGCCGAAGGGGGAGATGATGATAATGCTTTTCCAATTTTGCAAAAAGTAAATGAAAAGTTGTCAATAAATGCTTTTTCGAATGGATTAAAAAATAACAAACTTAGCTTAGAACCGTTATAAAAGTGATAAATTTTAGTAAATTAAAGGATGCCATTAATAGTGCTAAGGAAGAAAAATTAATAAAGACGTCTAACAGTTCTCAAGCAACTAATTTATTTGATACGTGAACTATCCAAAATTTTGGTAGATGCAATAGAAATAATAACAGAAGAAGATTTGGCAATAATAATTATTGTAGTAATAGAGGAATCAGACAATTATATGAAAATAGTAATTGAAATATAAGCTTTTTATATCAAAACAAAGGTCGAGGTCGTCAATTTTCGCAACGTCGACCAATAAACAATAACAAAAGTTCGACACGTCAGGCTTATTTTGCTGGGAGTTCGACTATTAATAGTAATTACTAATGAGTTACGTAGAGTGGGAAATAGTAATAAGTTTTTTCGAGTCGAAACAGAATAATGCATTGCATGTAAGTATGAATGGAATGATTATATGTGGGTACGGTATGGAGCGAATGAATTAAAATTTTTGTGTTGTTGACAGTTTTGATGCAAATATAGAGGGTATATTAGATTTCAAAACATGGTGCTACTGTCGATTACGAAAAATTTTTGTTTTCATTTTGGTAAAACGACAAAAAAATTACTGTACCTTTAGAAACGGATGAATATACCGTAATACCACCCCGTTGTGAAGTAATCAAATATTAATCGGATGATTGTTTAGTTCTAAATGAGGAAGTGTGTGAAGGTGTTCCTGTTGGAGCTCTTATGGTTAAACTAGAGAATAATAAAATTCCAGTAAGATTATTGAATGTTAATGAACGAAAGATTAAGTTAAGAAATAAAATATTGGTCAAGCATGTTGATAAGGGCTAGGCATCTGTGCTCTGGTTAGGTTGTATTACGCTGATAAGTTGTAAACATATGGGTTGTGCTGTTTGCAATTCATAATTGTAATGTACATAGTCATTCGGCTGTTTTCGGGAAAATATTCACTACTTTTACATGTATTGTGACGGCTATTTTATTTATTAACTAGTCCGTCACTATGACGCCTGAGCGGCAGCAGTTACCTCGGGCGCCAGTTTCTGTTTATAGTGCAGAAACACCACTACTCGGGCGACTACAGTGAAGACACGGTATGTCCAGAGGGTCTAGAGAGAGTTAGACTTCACACAGGAATAAAAGTCACAAATTGGGAAATATTTACATTTATTTACAGTTCTATTCTACCTATATACACTATTCTTCTACTCTAAATCTATAGTTGGACGGTGACAAACGGCTACGGTTATATACAGGTAGTAACTACAGAAAACGGTAAAAGAATGGTGCGGTGTTAAGCGGTGATCTTGGCTACTATCTCTACACAAAATATAACAGTAATAACAAATCTCCTTAAGAATGGCAGGTGACTGGCAGAATGTTCCCTAAACCTTGACTTCGCGCTACGCGGTGCCGAGTTAATTCAGGCGGCATTAAAAAATGCAAAATGTCGGTGCGTTAAACTACATTTATTAAAAATAAATCAAAAGGAACACAAATATGGGGTGTCGAAAAATCACTCTGTTACAGTATGGTAGCCTACTTCAGGCTGGATTAATGTAATGTTCCTGTTCCCTAGCTTTCAGAGCTCTTATTAATGATGTTTGAAACATTTCTGAATGTTCCCTCTATATCTAAAAATGCAGCTGCAATTTTTCTGTCCTGCATCCACTTTATATTAAATTATGTCTATAAACCCCACCCCCCTAAAAAATACCCCTGAATTTTAAGTTAAAAAGTTCATATGAACATGGGTCCGCAACGTCTTAGATCTTGAGATGTAAAGCATCCAAAATAATTTTATTGGTATTTTGATTATATTTATTTTTTATATATATTTTATATATTTTTGTTCAATAACATGGCAGTTTGACGAAATTCGAGAAATTGAGTATTGATAACGAGAAACTGTAATATTTACTTAGTTTTTCGTTTAATGTTAGAAGGCGCCACATATAGTGTTGTACCTGTATTTAAATAATTATAACTTTTTTGGGTCGCATTGCATATAATTTTTGACTAAACATACCTATTCTCCATTTAATTTTACATACAAAAGGTACTCTTAGTATTTGTAGCTGAAACCAGCCATTTTCTAAAAAATGGGTTTGAAGTTAAACCTGCGTTGGAATTTTGTAAGTTGAATCATTAAGAGTTTTTTTACTCAAATCAAATTAGTGAAAATTAGAAAAAATATATAATCAAAATTCCAAATAAAACCCATTTTTTTGGACAGTCTGTATCTCAAGAACCAAGTCGTTGCGGAACCATGTTCATATGAACTTTTTATCTCAAAATTAGTCAAAGATTTACCCTTTAAAGTTTGTACAAGTACTTAATAAACACCCTGTATAGTTATTATACAGGGTGTTTCGCATAAGAACCGACACAGGGCAGGTGCATGTAGGGGAACCCCATATGGTGATTTAATACTACTTACCTTTATACTAAGCTGCACCCCTGAGAAGTTATAGGCCTTGAAAGTGGTGGTTCAAATTTCGAAAAAAATATCAATATCTCAGTTATACTTGAACTTAGAAAAACCAAATTTGGTACACGGCGTGAATGTACCAAGAAATCGACACTAAGTAGAGTTCAATTGAATAATTTTAAAGGGGTGATAAGAGATGATGCAAATGTGACATAAATTTTTAACCCATTGGCGGACTTAAAAAATTGTTATTTATTTTATGGGGAATTTAATTCTAAAAATTTTCTTACTCTCGTCAGTTTTTAAAAAACGTTCTCACTTTTAACAAAAACACGAATAACTAATAATATGTATTGTAGATGTGTTCGAAAATTCAAAATTTGACTTTGAATTTAAACGTCAAACTTGACGATCATGAAATAAGTCATATAATTTTAGTAACTGTTTGCTGAGTGTTTTGAAAATGACCGGGAAGTTTTCATTTAGCGAACAAGTTGACATGCTATTAGTGTTAGGTTTCTGTGAAAAAAACTACAGAAGTGTTGAAGAATATCGGAGAAGATTTCCAAATTGTGTAATCTCCCATAAACATTTTTCGATGTTAAAAGACGGGCTCTAGAAAGAGGCAAGTTTTTCAGTAGGTAACAGTCGAGAACGTGCTATTGCATTCAAGGAACAAGACGAAGAACCTATTTTGAATACAATTGAAGATGACCCACATATTAGTACTAGAATTCTATCTCGACAAACTAATATATCACAAACTTTTATGCACCGAGTGATTAGACGTAATCTACTACACCCATATATCCAAAAACTGCAAGAATTGTTACCGAAAGATTTGGTTAAACGAGTGAATTTCTGTCAGTTTATTTTACATCAATAATTTTCAAAAGATAATTATCTTTACTGATGAAGCTTGTTTAACCCGTAGAGGTATAACAAATTTACACAACTACCATGAGTATTCCGATAAAAACCCTCATTCAGTAACTTCTCGACATTTCCAACGCGATGTTAAAATAAATGTTTGGATCGGTGTTATTGATCGGTATTTAATTAGTCCAGTTATTATACCGAGTCGACTAAATGGCGAAACTTATTTAGAATTTCTCCAAAGCACTCCCTGATCTACTTGACGAGGTGCCGCTACAATTCAGACTGGAACATTAGTTTATGCATGACGGAGCACCTCCCTCATTTTAGTAATATTGTTAGAGACTTTTTAAACCACTAGTATCCAAATAAATGAATTTGAAGAGGAAATCATTGCCCACAAGTTTGGCCTCCACGATCACCAGACCTCAACAAATGTGACTTCTTTCTTTGAGGACGTTAAAAGAATTTGTGTATTTCTCGCCAGTTGCATCTCGAGCAGAATTGTGGAATCGCATTACGGATAAATGCACATTCATTAGAAACAATCAGCAGTTACTCGATATAAATAACTGGATAATAAATTTATGCCTGAGCGAAAACGGTGATCATTTTGAACAATTTCTATAACTTATCAGTGCAAATTGTATGTTATTTCTGTTGTTTAAGTTGTTTGTTTTTCTATTAAATTATTTTTATTCCAACCTTTTTTCCTGATTGTCAAGTCACAGCCAATTTTTGAATTTTCGACGATTTTAAATAACACAGCTGCAATACGTATTATTAGTTATTCGTGTTTTTGTTGAAAACGACAAAGTTTTTTGAAAACTGATAAGAGTAATAGTCCGGGAGGCAGCGACACTATTGATGTAATTATTCCTACAAAGCTGATTTTTTCTCATTTTGTTGTTTTGATATCGCAAGTAAACGGAACGGTAGTCTACCGCGCCAATGTGGGGGCAAACATTAATAACAATGTTTGAAACATGTAAATAAATAATATATAAATGTCTTATACCTACATGTGTGAAACTTTTTAGAGTGATTAATTAAAATATAGTATAATGATAGTCTGGGGTCTACCACTCACGGAAGGTGTTAAAAAAATTAACTTTTTTGACTTATTTCTACAAGGCTAATTTTTTTTCTCGAATATTTTAGTTTATAAGAGAACAGTCTACCGATTATCTAAGGATGTAAAGCCTTGATACACGCAATGGAATGCACGATCTCCCGAGCGCAGTCGTTACACCAATCCTCTATAAGACGCTCTGAATAATAACTCATACCGGGATTAAATTAAAATCTACAAAGTTGCTTTTCTGTCTATAGGTAGTTTACAATAATTATTGTCAATAAACGTCTTCTATCTTCGATACAAAGTGGTTAAAGCTTCGGTAGACATGGCTAAAATTTTTGCGCGAGGACTATTGAAAGGACTGCTGCTTTCAAACTATTGCAATATTAATGAGATACAATATTTATTATAAGCAGCTGCAATACATTAATTTCATAATTATTTAATATTCAATCCTATATTATAAAATGTATTGTTATGTTTTTTAAAAATAAATATTGTCGGTGACTTTATTATTAATTTGAAACAATTTGGAAGTAAACTGAATGACGAAAAGTACAGTAAGTTACTGTTATTCGGGCTCGGCGAATATTGGTTGGCTATTGAAAAGGCGAGCCAATATCCTTGGCTGGATATATGACTTCGGATGGAGCGGGGCCGACCGCGATTATAGCTCTTCACCTACTTCTTCGCTGTAGGCCCGGACACCTCGTAGACAATTGATGTCTAGGCCGCCTGCATCTACCGGCAGCCTCTGCGGATCAATGGGTTGCTGTGTCTGATTACTTCCAGGGTATTCAAAAGATTTTATGCATGCCCCCTAAATATGTTTGCGCCGGCTAAGGCCTTTCCGGGGCTTCATCCCCTCTTGATCTTTACGCGTCGAATTTATAACGCCCGGTGTAGCCAACACGATATATAAGATACTAAATCTGATAGTTTGAACGTCCCATTTAGTATTGAAATTTTGAATTTAGTCTATAGTATTAGTATTTTTAATTTTAAACTAGTAGATGCTCTAGTATTTCCTTGTTATGTTATTATCGAAAATCATGAAAATTCTGCCACAATCCTAATCGTGAAGAATTAGCAAAACAAAAGTTAACTTGGCAATTGTAATTTGATCTCTTTTTAAAGTTACTTGGCGTTCCGTTCTTCTATATATGATTGTTCCATATTCCTTTCCGTTGTATCACCAGATCATTTCCTTACTTTTATATCGGTTTTAAGGTTAGTCGTTTTATCAGTTAAATCTAAATCCTTAAAATAAACGCAAACTAAACTACCATTAGTGAATTGCACTAAATTGGCAAACAAAAAGGCAGAATGTTATCTATTTGTTTTTTCATAGTTATTGAAATTTTTTTTCTTAATACTTTGTAGTATCTTCAGAACACTTCAAGTTAACACCACTTTCAACTTTTTCGCAATTTTATGGTAAATTACCAGGTTTTAGCACCTTCTGTTTTTTTTTGTACCAATTAGTATTTACTGCTAATCCAAAGTCGACAACCCTGGTGCTAGCTGCAAGTGTGACTTTGGTAAGCGTCATGGATATAAATTATAAGTGAAAAAAATGTATTTTCAACTTTTACTAATATTATAGTAGTAAAAATCTGGCTCGCTGACGCTCGCTCTTTATTACTAATATCGTACGTTTTAATAATGGTGCAAGCTCAAAAAATTATAATTATTTGAATTAGGAATTTTAAACAAAATCGTGCGCAAAAATTTTAGCCACGTCTACGGAAACTAGCCAATTTGTATCGAAGGTGGAAAACGTTTATTTGACGATAATTATCCTAAACTACTTATAGACAAAAAAGCAACTTTGTAGATTTTAATTTAATCCCGACATGACTAATTAATAATTATTCAGAGCGATTTACAGCGGATTGGCGCAGCGACTGCCCTCGGGAGATCGTGCATTCCACTGCATCTATCAAGGCTTTGCACCCTTAAATGATCGGTAGACTGTTTTCTTTGGTTCTATTATAAACTAAAGTATTTGAGAAAAAATATTCAGCCTTGTAATTGTATAAGTCAAAAAAATTAATTTTTTAACGCCATCCGTGAGTGGTAGACTCTTGATGGCTTCGCTTCCGACGCGGTAGACTATCATTATACTGTATTTTTAGGTATAATTAATCACTCTAAAAAGTTTCACACTTGTAGGTATTAGACATTTACATATTATTTATTTACATGTTTCAAACATTGTTATTAATGTTTGCCCCCACATTGGCGCGGTAGACTGCCGTTCCGTTTACTTGCGATATCAAAACAACAAACTGAGAAAAAATCAGCTTTGTAGGAATTGGTGCAAAATTTCTGTCGCTGCCTCCCGGACTATAAGAAAAGTTTTAAAATTAAATTCCTCATGAAATAAAGTAGTAGTAATTTTTTAGGTCCGCCAACTGGTTAAAAAATTCTGTCACATTTTAATTGTGCATCATCCCTTATCAACCCTTCAAAATACTTCAATTGAACTCTACTTACTCTCGATTAATGCCCTTTGTACAGTTACATTGTGCACCAAATTTGGTCTTTCTAAGTTGAAGTATAACTGAGATATTGATCTTTTTCGGAAATACACCGCACAAACCTTATGGGTTTGAGTTCCCCGTCCATTCGTCTGAATTTTTTATATATTATAATTGACACCCTTCTGATCAAAAATGTTCATAGTCCCAAAGTCCAGAAACGAACAGTTTTCGAGATATCGAAGACGCAAAGTCTCAAAAATGGAATGAAAACGAGTACTTTTGAAAATCATTATTATCCATTCTTCTTTTATTTATCGGTCACTCGAGACACCTCCAAAATAAGGGTGGAAAAACTAAAATATTTATATCAGGTTATTACGAGATTATCCACACAGTTTTTTTTTTTTTCATAAATCATTTCATACGGCTAAGAGCATATGTGTAGAAATCCTAAACATTTTCAACTCCTATTTGAAGGGTGTTTCGGGATGGAAACGGCTCAAGGATCTTTCAACACATCCTCTTAGCCGTACAGAATGATTCATGAAAAAAAAAAAAACAGGTGGATAATTTCATAACAACCTGAGATATAAATATTTTAGTTTTTCTACCCCTATTTTAAGGATATTTCAGAATGAGGATTTCTACAGATTGCTCTTAGTCGTATAGAATGATTTATGAAAAAAAAAACCGTGGATAATCTCGTAATAACCTGATATAAATATTTTAGTTTTTCAACCCTTATTTTAGGGGTGTCTCGGGGGTGGAATTGTACTGATTTTCATTCTAGATACATATTATGAATACTCAAATTGATCCAAACCCGATAAATAATACAAGAATGGATAATGATAATTTTCAAAAGTGCTCGTTTCCATTTTCTGGTTCATGGAAATATTCCATTTTTTGAGACTGCGTCCTCGATATCTCGAAAACTGTCCATTTCCGGACTTTGGGTCTATGAACACTTTTGATCAGAGGGGTGTCAAGTACAACATATTAAAAATTCAGGCGAATCGACGGGGAACTCAAACCCATAAGATTTATGAGTGGTCCTTTGAAACCCCAACTTCAAGGCCTACAACTATCAGGGATGCAGTTTAGTGTAGAAGTAAGTTCCGTTAAATAGCCATATTTTGGGTTCCCCTACATGCCCCTGTTCTGTTTTATGCGAAACACCCTGTATCATTTTCAGAAAAAGATTATCTCAAACAGTTAATTAATATTTTCAAATTTATTTTTAGGAAAGTTCTTAGATGTAGAATACAACCCACCATGGGAATTCAACTCGACAATGGCCATTAGAAGCATGACCATACCATATTTCACTATCGGCATGAGTTACAAATTCCTCCGGGATTTTAACATCCTAGCAAATCATTATCTAGCGCAGACATTCCTAACTCCCTACACCATGTTGGTGATCCCTCGGTTTCTTATGTGCCTGTTTTCTTTCCTCGTTGATTTTTCTTTATATCGAATTTGTTATAACAATAATGAAAAGTACAAATCGCGACTACTGGTGTTGAGTAGCTCTTATATAATGTTTATCTACTCGACGCGAACTTTCTCGAATACTATAGAATTGATTTTATTTTCTCTGCTACTGTTTTTCGTTTGTGAAAGTTTGACATTTTCTAATATACTTATCAGGAAGAAAGAATATATAAACTATCGTTTGGAACAAAGCAAATCCGCCATAGAAAGAGCGAAATTTCATAAATTGCGGTTATTTATGGTTTCAGATTCTTTTAGAAATTGTTTCGTTATAACTACTGTGACAGTATTTGGCTGTTTTAACCGACCAACATTTGTGGCTTTTGCAGTGATTCCGATTTTTTTTTGGTTATATAGAGGAATAGGCACTAGATCCGTTACTGTTTTCCAATTCCATTTCAGATTGTTAATGTTCGTATTTTGTTCAATACCTACTTTACTATTCATTATATTAATTGATTCATTTTATTACGGATATATAACGTGGGGAGAAATAGGAATGTTAGATGTCACTATAGACAGTTTTGTTTTTACACCTTTAAATTTTATCAGGTATAATCTTAATCCGGAAAATTTAGCCAAGCATGGATTACATCCTAGGTTCCTTCATGCTGTTGTAAACATTCCTTTGCTATTTAACGTTCTTGGATTTTGTTCGTTGTTCACTCATTTGCAGTATATTTACATGTAAGTATAAAGATTTTAGATTTATTGTTTATTTTCTTTTTTGTTGGCTGTTACAAATTCGCTTCTCACTACAGGGATCTCGGAAACGGTAAGAGATACGAAGTAGCTTAAATGGGGGCAAACTTGCGTAATCAGGGGACTATCGTTATGCCTCTAAAAATCAAGGCTAACATGATTAGTTTTCGAAATATTTGAAAAAAAAAAAACGAAATTTTGGAAATCGGCTTTTGTTTAATTTCAGCCTTGTTTGAGGTGATATTGAAAAAAGAAGAACACTTTCTCATAGCCACTTTTTGCCCTCTATGGAATGGCATATTTAAATACGACCCTGGACATTTTATTATATTTTTTGCAAGCCTTCATGACCCCCAATACTGTATTACCTCAGCTCGAACCAGATTCACACGATTTATTTCGAAAAATTTATCTTCAGTGTATTCGTTCCAAATTTATCTAAATTTTTTATTTAGATTTCTTTGTTTATTGAATTATCGTACACTGTAAGTGTCGTTAGACCCTGGAAATCCATCCAGTTACATATTTAAACAATTACCACCACGCATTAAAATAAAACATTATTAGAGTTTTATTCCCGTGTCCATAGTTATTTCTAGGCTTCTCTAGTGTTTTTTTTTATTCATACAAATATATCTGACATGCTCTTTCACAATTGCGGTTACAGGTAGACTAAATTTCAATGATATTACGCTGATCTTCATTTTCAACCTTTGCCAAAACGAAAATGTTTTTGAACATTTACTGAAATTTTTTATAGAATAATATTCAGTTGGCGTTTTGGTTGATCATATTATGCATTTTTAAGAATTAATTTGTCATAATAAAATTAAAATTGTAATAATGTTTAAATTTTGACGCAACAACTTATTGAGTTATGTATGGTAATAGTTGATAATAATAAATAATTTGTTTTATTGTAACGCGTGGTGGTAATAGTTTAAATAACTAGATGGTTTTACAGGGTCTAATAACACTTACAGTGTACGATAATTCAATAAACAAATAAATCTAAATAAAATATTCAGATAAATTTGGAACGAATACGAATCTGTTTCGGGCTGAGGTAGTACAGTACTGGGGGTCATGAATGCTTGCAAAAAATGTAATAAAATTTCTAGGGTCGCATTTAAAAACTTGAAGTTAATGATGGTCCTGGAGAGATGAAACGTTACATACAAAAATTTATTATGCCATTCGATAGAGGGCAAAAAGTGGCCATGAGAAAGTGTTCTTTTTTCAATAACACCTCAAACAAAGCTGAAATGAAACAAAAACGGATTTCCAAAATTCGTTTTTTTTTTTCAAATATTTCGAAAACTAATCATGTTAGCCTTGATTTTTTAGAGGCATAATGTTGGTCCCCTGATTACGCAACTTTGCCCCCATTTAAGCTACTTCGTAGGTCTTACCGTTTCCGAGATCTCTGTAGTGAGAAGCGAATTTGTAATAGCCTGTATACATAACTTCCATTGGACATTCCACCTCAATTGGACCACTTCTCTGCCCAAAATTTATGACATTCAAAAAGGGTGAGTGGGGTACCAAAATTTTCATTGGAATGTCTACTTTTGAATGCCACTCGCAGTTTTTGTAATAAAGAAAAATAAAATGGCTGTTCAATGTGACGGCTATAAGCTGAAAAATGTAATTATAGTATTTGAGTTTAAAAAACTTAAAAAATGAACAAAAACGCTATATAAAGTTAAAGGTACTAATGATTATTTTTTAAATACGTGTAACATGGCGAGTCCAATATGGAGTATAAAATGGAGTATTCCATAAAATGGCCTAGTTTGCCATGTCTAGTACATTACCACTCTTCAATGCTGATTTAGATTGACTGATGCATAGGATGATAAAATTTAATGAATATTTGAAAATATTAAATATGGACTATTCAAAATGGCATCTTAATGCTACTTTTAAAAGCATCTTTTTACTGACTCACAATAAATCACAATGATTGTAGTATTTTTTAAAATCGGACAAATTATGATGTTCCCTAGAGGAAATATAATTATGAGCTTTTACTGAAAAATTTATAATGAGTAAAAAATTTAGATATATGAAAAAATGCGAAAATGTATGAAACGGAACTAGAAATTTCTAAAACACGTCCATTCTGAACATGCGACGATGAACGTCACAAATATGTAAACCTTTTCCATACTTTTTCATATTTTTTAACCCTTTTTTCATACTTTTTCAACCTTATTTTTACTTTGTTTAATATATCGCTATCTTAGACCTCTATCTCGCTATTTGAGGAGTTTATATCATGTCTTTCAAATTTATAGCAAAAACAGCACCCCTCCTTCCCTACTATCCCAGACACTTACCTCCCCTACCTCTATCCTGTAAGTTAGGTCACTAAGGTAGGTTAAGCTACTTTAATTCACTCCGGTAGATTCAGCTAACAAAAAAAACAGCCAAGTTAATTCATTCCAGTAGGATAGGTTGATTAAAAAATATCCTGTTTGTTAATTCACTCCGGTAGGATCAGTTATCAAAAAAGAATCATTGCTAATTCCCTCAGGTAGGTTAATTACAATGTAACGTCTTTTTTACCTCCCTCTAGTAATCATATTGGTTATCACCATGTTTAATTTGTTGATTTATTGAATAAAGAGTACATTGTCGTATTCCACCCTTCGAGCGAGCTTCAGGATTTCAGAACACTCAGTATATTCCTAGAAGTAGTCTCGTACCTGCGGATATGCCTGAGACCGTTGAATTGGGTATCATTTCAGACATCGAACTTGATACCGTCGGGGAGCAATTTCTGCGGCTCTGCATCTCAGTGCGGACGTCGCCCCATAACATGACATCGATCCTCCCGGCGATAGCGCTTCCAAAGCCTAAAGACCAATTTCACCGATGTTTCCAATGTAACCCGCATCGCGACCGATCTCGCTTTGGTCTGCCATCCCGGCGCGCAGTATCCACTGCCGCGACTCTCGCAACCTGCAGACGAACCCCGGGACGCTTCAAGGCCATATTTGGAAACTATCATCTAAATTTTTACCACCTTTTCGAATTGGTCAAGGACGCTATCGTCAATAACTCGAAAAGTTATTGAGCGATCGGGTGTCAAAATTTAATGCAGCACTCCTCAAGTCGCTGGCATTATCTCACTAAATTTTCGTCCGAATCGGATGAGCCAAAACGCCGTTATACGGGGAAACGCGGATTTTACGTTTTCCGCGTTTTTAGCCGTTCCGCTCATTCGATCTCGGCCAAACCTCAAAACCACACTAGAGTATCCCTAGGTGGTTATCATATCCAAATTTGAGCCAAATCGCGCGATACTAACGGCCAGCTAAGCCATAATAGGTTTTCACGTCTTTATAGCTGTCGCCGAAGGTGTCCGCACGATCTCGGCCGAATCCTCCAACCACGGCACTACTTCATGCCGTGCATCTACACACCACTTCTCAATCAAATCCATCCAGTATTAAGACCTCCGTAAGCCCTTTTACGAAGACGGGGAAAATGTCACCGATGTTTCCAATTTCCCCGTCTTTGGGCCGAAAGGACCGTCTTCCGAAGGTCCCACCGCTCTGGCGGTTGGATGGAGCCGAGACCGCGGGTAGAGTTTTTTCAAAATGGGAAAAAACTCCAAAATCCCCGGCGCCGACATCGACTATCCGGAGAGGCCAGAGGAGAACTAGATCCGACGTCGACAGCGACGACGGGCGCTTTTTACTGGAAATTTTGGCGGACAATTCACGAGCGGTCCGCCAAATGTATGGAGATTGGAGAAAAGCGATCGAACGTCGACTCCCGGCGTTCGCAGTACTTCAGTGGGAATACATGTACGAAGAAAGTGATACAGAGCGAAATGTAACAAATCTTATTCATGGTAAATAACTTGTATATGTTAATTGTGAACCTTTATTGTCTGTTAATTCTGTTCAATATATCTTACTTATATACTTTTAACATATCTTCCACGGTTTGATTGAAAAAATCCTGTCATCAAACTCAAGACCTTTTGGAGCTCAAGCTTACAGGCTCGCTTAACGAGGCTAGTAGATATGCTATGGACGTATGACGCCAAAATCCCATGTATTTTCTTATGAAGGTTCATATTAGCAGTTTTTGACGAATTTT